GAGAGAGAGAGAGAAAGTAAGGAGGTAAGGAGTAAAATGATAGCTTGGTAAGGGCATGTTATGAGGAGGGATGAATCGTATGTTACCAGGAGAATATTAGTTATGAATGTGGAGGTATACCTAGAAAGAGGATGGATTACGTGAAAGGTGACATGATCAAAAAGGGAGTAACTGAGATGACGTAAGATAGAGTTATGTGGAGGACAAAAACCTGTTGCGCCCTACGGGAGTCGGATAAGGGGGAAGATGAAATACTAAAAAGAAATAAATAAAAACAACACCCTGTATTGTTGGTTCACATTTTAATATGGAAGTGAAGACGCCTATAGTAGCATTGAACGTGTTAATATACTACTATCAGAATTACAATACAATTTCATCGAAACCGTACGTGTGGGAGGAACTTAAATAATTTATGTACACACATTCCTATTACAAACGGGAATATTAATACGTTATGTGATTACGACATGAAACTGAGCATTTACTTAATCTATTGGAATTATTACACGACCGATTTACTCGTTACATTTATCCCATATGTTGTGTAGAGAGAGTATAAAATGTACAATCTAACTAACAGAGCAATTACCTATGTTTTTTTTTTATACTATAAGGTGGCAAACGAGCAAGCTGCCACCTGAATCCACCGAAATGGAAAGCGACCGCTGCCCATAGACATCCGCAATTGCAGTTGCGTTGCCTACCCTTAATTGACGGAGGAGGAGACACACATAAAAAGGACATTTCCCCTTCCTATGCGTCTCCTCCACCATCAAATCCACTTTTCCTTCCCATCCTTTACTATTAAGAAATGGTGGAAAGGGAAAGGGACTACAATTAGGCCTCCGGCACCTCACTCATCAGACGAAACGCGGAATTGCTTCCACTTCACGCCTGTTTTCTGTGTGGTCGTGGTATTGCAACGGGCGAGCCGGTCCATTCGTGCAAAGATGTTAAAGCGGGCTCTACCACTGTAATGTTTTTGAAAAGAAACAAAACTCGAATCAGATTTTTTTAAACTATGATTTTTTATCGATAAGCACAGGCTATTTATTCTCAATATCTCCTAAAAATACTCTGTTCTTAACAATACCAAGTAAGGAACATTTATATCCATACTAATATTATAAAGAGGAAAGATTTGTATTTTTGTATGTATTGAAATAACTCAAAATCTACTGGACCGATTTTAAAAATGCTTTCACCATTAAAAAGCTACGTTATCATTGAGTAACTTAGGCTTTATTTATTTACGGACGAAGTCGCGAGCAACAGCTAGTCAGTTATAAATTTAATATAAACTTATTGAAATAAAAGAAAATTCAATAACTCAGTCAAATGTCAGCCAAAAAAATCACAAACTTGTCCTAGATTTGACGCGTATGCAATGCAGTGGGTGCCGTTGCCAAACGAAATTGGCTACGAAGCGGCCAAGTCGTTCTGAAACAATCTTCCTAGACTGCAACAACTGAAATGCACTCTATTTAAGGAATTAGATGGATGAAACTTTGTGTGCCATTTAGTACGAAAAATCTTCACTTGAAGTGCTAAAGAGGAGCAAATAGAAGTGCTTGATTTGTTAGGATTTATGTATTAAAAATAAAAAGAAGACAAAAATATCTATACTTTAAAAAAATTACACACGAATTGAGTACCTCCTTCTTTTGGGTAGTCGGTCAAAAATGGAATGACTGTGTGTAATTTCGTAAAAAAAAAAAACAGATTTTACGAAGTAGATGTATTTGCATTGCTGATTATAAAAATCGCATTTAAAATATTTGGTCTGTCTGTCCGCAAGCCACGTGTGTTCTGAGTTTTTTCTAATAAAAAAAACTCAGAACACACTTCTTCTGTAAAACAAATGAAGATCGAAGGAAAATTAACCACATTTTAGTTCTTTGCACCAAATAGTTTGTATGTCTGAAGTTTCTTTTCGTTTTCCTTTCCAGCCGTGTCGCGGCAACATGTCCCTGCTAGAGGAGGATGTATGGAGGGAGCAGCAGTGTAGCGCGCACGACAACACTCCGTACGGTGGCGAGCTGTTCCATTGGAGGGCGCATAGAGATGACGCGGAACCATGCGCGTTGACCTGTCGCGGCACACCGCAGCATTCCGGACAGAGTCCTGAACCGGTTGGTTTATATACTGTTCTATTTTTAAAATTTTTCTGCTGAGATTAAGTGTTGGCTAATTCTTTTTTAAAAAAATTAAATTTGGAATGTGGACATTCCATTTTCAAATATAAATTAAAAAACAAAAGTATCTTATTCCAACCAAGAATATAAAAATTCTGGCTTATGGGCACTTCATTCGGCATTATTATTACGGCTAGGTACATTTTTTTTTTGCAATATGGTGAGGTTTTAAAGATTTCCGGCCAGACTATATTATGTTATTGCTTAGTTTGAGAGTTCTCAAGTCCTGCTCATTGTTAGAATTGTTCGCTTACTTAATTAATGTGCTTAATCATCTCAAGTTATATTAAGTGATATAAAATCCATGATATGAAATTAAGTTATCAATATGTATAAAATCATTTTTAGGGTGTGTATAAATTATCTTTGTAAAATACATTTGTTTACAAACTCAAACAAAAAGATTTAAAAAAAAATTAAAACTAATTTAGTCGCGAAATGCAAAGTTAAAACGTTGGAAAACGTTAGAGCACTTCTGTATTCATTAATTGTATTTTTACTATAAAATAAACTTCGAATTCAGAGCTCGAAGAAAAACTTTCCAGAAACGTCTATTTCTTTTTTTTACAATTTTCGCTTCGAGTGCCGCCGGTCAATGGAACGTCAGTTAAATGCTATAATTAATTGCCTTCAGTTTTTCTCGTAAAAGCTTCGACTATTGGAGTAACAACGCCTAATGTTTATTTTCGAAAACTTTAAAGACAGGACCTGTCTAAACTTGCTTGTGCTCGTGTGTGTTACTCACTGCAAGAGACCATTTATTTACAGCCGGTTCTGCATAATAAGTTTCACTATAGTCAAAGGTGGAAAACATTTTATGTATTGCAAAAGAGTTGAATTTAACATATTTTTTTTAATATCCAGAAACCGGAAAGAATGCGACTATCTTTAATTGTTGGCAACAATTCTCAAGTTCCTTTGGTGAGTTTTCATGGGAATCTGTGATTAACAGCACTCGACGAAATCAGGCTGGCAATAAACATACTAACCTAATATTAAAAACATAACCTAACCCTCTTGTATATTATAAGGAGGTTCTGAATTTGTATCTCTTTGCTTAGAATCCACAGTAATGTAATATTTTATACAGACGGTGTCGTTGGATGATGACGACCGCGTGGTTGTGGCGGTGCTTGCGGCAAGAGTGTCCGACGGCACGCGATGTCGCCCCGGCAGTCTGGACATGTGCATCGATGGAAGATGTCAGGTGAGACATAAATTACAGACAAGAAAAAGAAACTAAGTCTCTTCAGACGCTACTGACGTAATTAAAAATCAAGACTACTAATACTAGACTATACTTAAGACTCTTAGCGCGCACATTTGAAACTAATCTATCGCATAACTGTTTTGTCGCACTTTGATTCCTATGAGGTTATATGGAGGTGCGCACACTACTATTTTAGTTATGTAACTAAATAGTTGATTGGGCTGAGAAACAATCGACAATCGCCAGCTTAGAATTCATGAGTGGTTTAAGTCCCCTTATTATTTCTCAGTAAATCACTATACGTTTCTCGTGAACAATTATGACTGAACGTAGCAATTTTTAATGTATTTAATTAACAATATTCCATCAATTCTATTTTTAATTGTAGACCTTTGCCTCTATTTAATAAAGAGAAATGTAAAAAAAGAAACAAAAAAAAAATATGTTGAATAGATTTCAAACATGGAACGCTTCAATTCCATCAACAAATTACCGCTGCGTGAACCGGAATATTTCAAAATGTTTGTTTTTCTTTTATTTACTTCGTAACGTGTTTAAATACTGGCCGGTAAATTGTGTTTTTTTTCCCGAACTGTAATACTCTGGGATTACTAAGCTCTGTAATTTTAATCTGTGCGTTTAATCCGATATCGATACGGTTTTAATGAAATTATGCCTTTGGTTTAAAGTTAACGATTTTTACTAATTAAAATATCTCTTTGAGGATTTTCGAAGCTTATATTAATAATTTTTACGGTGTTATTTCGTAACAAATTCTAGACAATTAATATGAATTTTAAAACTCATCGATTTATTTATATTTCACTAGCTGTCGCCTGCGACTTCGTCCGCGTGGAATAAAAAAAAAGAAATTTGGTAGGCTATGTGTTCTTCCAATCTATCCTCTATATCTATACCAAATTTCATCAAAATTCGTTCAGCCGTTTAGGCTACAAACTCTAACAAACATCCATCCATCCATCTAAACTTTCACATTTATTTATTGCTAAATTAGACTTTGATTTTTTATATAGAATATATATAGAAATATGTCCTTAATTATATCGGTAAAATGTCAATCTGAGCTCCGAATATTTAGCATAACTTGATGTAAATAAAATTATCATTTACTTGTTATTTTTTAAACGTTTCTATGCTTTTAATTTAATTGTTTGCCTTTACCATATATTATATTTTTTATTACACTCCACATTTTAAAGTAAACAAATGCTCATTATACACCTGAATATCGGAAGGTTTTCGGTTTCCTACATGTCATATTTAATGAGACAAGACGTAGCATTTTTATAAGATAATCACAAAGGCGGCCTACATTGTGACAGACTTTGATAAATGCGTCTGCTTTCCGCCAGGGAAATGTTAAAAAAACTTTTATATTTTCTTTAATGACCTCTTTTTTATATTTGCAAGTATTTAATATTATGATTTCTTTTGCTTTAAGATTATAGTTAAAAATATTAAAATCATCATGATTATTAGTTTTTGTCTGCCCACTGCTGGACATAGGCCTTCCCAATGCCTTCCACAGAATGCGGTCCTCCACCTTCCGCATTCAACGACTACCTGCCGTTACTAAGTCGTCGGTCCATCTGTCGGTTCGTCAAAAATATTAGCATGGCATTACAAAATTCTAAAGTGTGTTTTTTTTATAACAAAAGGTGGCAAACGAGCAAGCGGCCACCTGAATCCGCCAAAATGGCGAAGCGACCGCTGCCCATAGACATCCGTAATTGCAGATGCGTTGCCTACCCTTATCCGACAGAGGAGGAAATGGACATAAAGAGGATATCTCCCCTTCCTATGTATCTCCTCCTCTGTCAAATCCACTTCCCCTTCCCATCCTCTACTTATAAGAAAAGGGTGGTAAAGAGAAAGGGACTTAAATTAGGCCTCCGGCACCACACTCGTCGGACGAAACACGGAATTGCTTCCATTTCACGCCTGTCTTCTGTGTGGTCGTGGTATTACACCGGGCGTGCCGGCCCATTCGTGCTAAGATGTTAAAGCGGGCACTACCACTGTAAAAGTGTGTGAAGTCAACCTGCAGTGCAGCGTGGTTGACTTACACGTAGGCATCCCTTACTTAGAGTAGGCTCCGAGCTTCTCAGTGGAGACGAATAATGTGATGGTGATGATGATAAAATATGGCTTTTCTTAGTTAGGATATAAATAATGTTCCCTTTTCTTTTCGTCGTTCTCCGTCGATTAAAGGTACACATTTTTATTTGTGGATATCTATGGGAGGCAGTAGTTTCGCTATTTCGGTGAATTCAGTTATCCAATTGCTCCTTTGCCATCTTTTTACAAATAAAAATATTTTAAAAACGACCATATAAAAGTATTTAGGTTTCTTTTTAAATAATTTGTTAGATTAATTTTAATTTAGGACACTAAAAAAGTTCAGCGCCAAGTGTGTTCGTTTTTATACAAATATAATTATTATGAATTCTATTCGGAAGAAGCATCTAAAATCCTCTATATAGCTACTATTTACGAGCAATGAACGCCGAAGCGACCGCGTTATGAGAGAATAAACATTCCTCCCCTCACACCGAACATAACTTCACAATTTGAGACCTCTTGAATATTTTATTGTGTTAATATTGCAACGGAAATATTTGTGGAAACGTCTCGGGAATATCTAAAGTAAATTCAAGAAAGTTATTCTTAACTTTTTTGTTTCTTTAAGTTATAAAAGATCAACATCAAATTTTGTACAGTCAGCTACATAAATATACAGTTACACAACTATAAAGTTATATAGGCCTACGGTTTCAATGCATATGCATTCGAATTTTAATGTGTGGTATTGACAAATATTTGCATACGTATTTTTGAAACCGTAATGCTATACAAGTTTTGTCAGTGACTGTACAGTGATATATATTTATGAGACTGACTGTACACCTGGAATTGTTAAAAAATCTTTGTAACGAATAAACAAATGAATGTCAATATTCTAAAGATAAATTTAAAAATATTAAAACAAAAGACAATCTCTTAAAACAATTTCGATTGTGTTTTGTTTTGTGCCGTTCGAATATTCGGAAAAACCTACTTCTAATTATAGACCGTAGTCTATTTTAAATGAAGTCGACGTAACGAAGCGAAACTAATACAGCGGCTAATGGAATAGAAACGGGCCGTAATGAAACCGCCACCGACACATTGAATTATTAATAAGATCGAGAAGCTTCCGTGGATACAAGGGTCAATAAATCATATGTACTAGCTTTACTTACGTGGACTATAAGTAATCTATATCTGTTTATACATATAATAAATTGGAGTGTCTGTTTGTAATATCCAAAGAAAAATTCTAGATTTCGCAAAGATGACGTATTTGCGTTGCTGATTACGAAAATCGCATTTAAAAAAATTCGGTCTGTCTGTCTGTCCGCAAGCCGCGTTTGTTCCGGGTAATCTCCGAAACGGCTGGGCCGATTTCGACAGGTCTAACATAGGAGGGTAGCTGACGTGGATAGGCATATTATAGGCTACTTTTTTAGATTCGCGCTGTCAAAATAGCGTAACGGGTGGTCCAAATTTGCGCTAACGAAGTTTGCGGACGACATCTCTGATTACTATACTAGTTCCCCATATAGTTATAGGGTGATAAAAACTCACTTAAGAATTAAGCTTTTAAATGCAAATATTGGATTATTCCCAACCGTCACCCCCTCTGTCCCCACGTGAGAGTATAGATTTATCCATCCCACCTTTAAGTCCTACTAAAACCAATAACGTGACAGGTGGAACCGTTATGAAATAAAATAAGTTCCTAACAGGTGGGACGGATGAAACATTTTATTCTCACGTGGGGACAGAGCGGGGTGACAGTTGGGAATAATCCGAAATATTTGATCTAAACGTATAAAATAAAAATCTGTAAGAGCTCGTAAATTATAAATATCTTATCAAATTCTACGTGTTTGTTAAAATATTAGATTAGTGACAACTTTTTTACAATAAATGCTAACAGACAGTTCAATTCGGTACGAATATTTTTGTAAACGTGTACCCATGTTATCACATTTTTGTTGACAGTTAAGTGCTATTTGCACGAGTCGAACAAAAATATAAATATTTGCTGGCCACAAATATTCACGCTCAAAATAAATGTTGTCACAGTTGAAAGCATTTCTAAAACAAAATGCAAAACATTCCAAAACAATGATTTTTCATTAATATTTATGTATGACTTTAGGAAGTTTTTCGACATTTTAGGCAATCTGAAAAATCTTACTGCTTACTAATATTATAAATGCGAAAGTTTAGATGGATGGATGTTTGTTAGAGTTTGTAGCCTAAACGGCTGAACGGATCTCGATGAAATTTGGCAAAGATGTAGAGCATAGTCTGGAAGAACACATAGGCTACCTTTTATCCCGGGAATAGTTACGGTTCCCGTGGGATTCATTAATTTAGTTTTTTAATGTTTACTCGATCATGCTGCAATGGTTCAACATATCTTATTGAAATTTGGCACAGATATAAAACAAACTCTGGAGTACACATCGAATAAGGTTCATCCCCGAGAAATGTCCGGTTCCCGAGGGATACGTAGCTTTTTGTTATTTATATAGTTCGTATGTTTTCTAATACCACGCGAACAACAGCTCGTACTAAAATAAATAGAGAGGATAGAAGAATTCGTTTGTGTTTAATATTCAATTCAAGTAACTTATTATTATCAATACATATTGATATAACAAATAATAATAAAGATTCTAAAAAGTTATATTAACAAGGATTTTTCTGTGTAATTTGTACGAATTATTTGTTCATTATTTTTACGTTAAGTATAATTTTTTTATTTGAACTCACTGAATGGAAAGATAGGAGAGATAATTATAAAATTTCATTTAGCGAAGATGTTTTCATTTCACTTTATTAAGGTGGTCTATCTAGAATATTCTTAAGTCTCCGCGGCGGCCATTTTGATTCTGGATTGTAAAGACTGTGGAGTGGGCCTT